CAATTTAGATGATGATTGATGCAAAAATGTGACCGCTAGAGTGTTAACAAGGTTTTTCTATTTTTAGCTCCGGTGACCGACTTTTTCATCCGAGATGACCCATGTTCGAACTCATCTGAGCTATCAACTAGATAAGCATCCTGACCAAGTTTGATGATGATTGATGCAAAAATGTGACCGCTAGAGTGTTAACAAGGTTTTTCTATTTATAGCTCCGGTGACCTAGTTTTTCATCCGAGATGACCCATATTCAAACTCATACGAGCTATTATCTAAACAAGCATCCTGACAAAGTTTGATGATGATTGGGTCAAAAATGTGACCACTAGAGTGTTCAAAAGGTTTTTCTATTTTTAGCTCCTGTGACCTAGTTTTTCATCAGAGATGACCCATGTTCGAACTCATCCAAACAATTGACTAGACAAGCATTCTGACCAAGTTTGATGATGATTGGTTCAAAAATGTGACCACTAGAGTGTTCACAAGGTTTTTCTATTTATAGCTCCTGTGACCTACTTTTTCATCCGAGATGACCCATGTTCGAACTCATCCGAGCTATCACCTAGACAAACATCCTGACCAAGTTTGATGATGATTGGGTCAAAAATGTGACCTCTAGAGTGTTCACAAGGTTTTTCTATTTTTAGCTCTTGTGACCTAGTTTTCCATCCGAAATGACCCAGTTTCGAACTCATCCGAGCAATTGACTAAACAAGCATCCTGACAAAGTTTGATGATGATTGAGTCATAAGTGTGACCACTAGTGTGTTCACAAGCAATTGTGGACGTACGACGGACATTCACCGATCCTAAAAGCTCACCCTGAGCAAGCTCAGGTGAGCTAAAAAAAACTTAATATAAGCTGTTTTGAAAAAATTTCATATTTCAACGTCTATAATAATAGACGTCGAAATATGAATTTTTTTCAAAACGGCTTATTTAAGTTTTTTTATATATACTGGTTGGGGACCACCAAAACCGGACAGCCCAGAAAATGCTTAATTTAGTATTTTCTTTGTTCAGTGGTTGTCAGTCACTTTTTCATTAACAATAAATGCACATTTCTTCTAAAATTAAGTAATAAATTTATTTCAACCTCCGTAAATGGTAATATTTTAATGTCTGTTTCTACAATGTTGACGTTGAAATTTGGGGGGTCAAGAAAGCAATACCTGATCTCATATACCAGCTATAATCATTTGCAGAGTAAACAATAGAATATCCAAAAAATCAGCATTTGTTGCTGAATGTTAAAAATCTAAAATCAAAACACCCAAGCTTTTATCTGAATTAAATCGCGTGATGTACATATTTGTCCGGACACATGGTACTGTAGTGAAGACAATTTAGGTAATTTTGATACCCTCCTTGTCAAGCCTCAAATATAAGTGTCAATACATTGTCAAGCCTCAGATATAAGTGTCAATACAATCAGAAATAAACAAACTAGGTTGTTAGTTAGGAGAAGAACCTTGCTGAACTGTGTCAAATTTTAAGGTCTCTAGGTTAAAAATTATGAAATCTGACCTGTACGAAAAAATGTTCAAAAAGTGTCCGGTTGATGGTCCCCAACCAGTATGATCAGTACATGTGCTTGGATTGACAAATATACATTTTATTTGGATTTTAAAGGCGTTTTAAGCTCCACATCCCAAGTGTCTGTGAATTTGATATCACTTTTTGAAGAATGCAAGTAAAAATCAAGCGTTTAAATGAAAAATGCGGGTACTGCTTCTGTACTGGAACTGCTTGCATGCCAGTAGGGACACCGGAAACAACAATTTTTTTAATGTCTTAGTTGGACTATATCTCAGTGCTTGCAATTCTATGTTCTATTACAACGCCCTACTTTGAAGGTAAAAATGTTTAATTTCGTATTTTATAAAGCAACGTTTACGTGTATAAAGAACCCAAAATCAATTGGGAAAATTTTTAATCTTTTTTATGCTTTTACATAAAAGTTAAAGCGACAATAGATCTATCTACTGAATTCTACATCATTTTTTGTCCGTTAATCCCAGTATAGTGGAACCCCATTGTATCGTGCTATTCATTGTATCGATCTATTTACAAATCAGAATTTAATCTTTAGATTTTTTGCAAAATACGTCACCTACTGATTGTTAACATTTACAACAGTGTCACGAAAATCTTTCGCATTTATTTTTGTGCAGTAAAATGATCAAAAACATGTTTCCAGTACCGTAAGACGTTGTAGATAATAAATACAATGTACATTTGCTGTCTGTTAAAAGTTCCTAAATTTGTGCTGACATTTTAAAACTGACATCTTTGATTCTAATTGACTGAAATATCTAACATAAAGATGGTTAAGGCTTCCCAAACTTTGGCTAACTGAGCGATTCTCACAATGCATCGATATAATGACGTGACCTAATTCATCAACCAGTTTGACATGTCTGTAAATATCCGTATATTCCAAAGCTAAAAACTATATATCAGTGATGTTTGCCATGTAAATATTATGGCAAAAGGATCAAAATAAATAATACAAAATAAATATTCAGGGAGATTTGAATTTTTTAAATGCAGTTGTGATTTATGGGTAAATAGATCGATTCAACGGGGTTCCAGGCTACCTTTACTGTACTTCTCAGCATTTAAGCCAAGCTTGTAAGCTCCTCCTATTACACTAAAACTATATGTGCTACTAATGTGCTAATCTTATTTGTTTGGGGGAACACATAAACTAAGAAACAAAATTTTAAACAAGAAAGATATTGTAACTCACCATGTTCTTTGATGAACAAGATGATCCCATATATTTATAGACTTTCACCGCTATCACGCGGACTGATAACATTAAGGTAAACAAGACTTGGAGATGTGGGGAAAATCTCAAGGTAAATTTTCGTAAAAATAGGAGGCCCGTACTGAGTACTGTACAGTATAGTAAACGGGCATAAAACCCGGCGCCTCTACCCTATTTCTGAAAAAAAAACTAAAGGGAAACATGAAGCTCCTTTAACTTCTTTATTTCGTAATCAATTTTAATAATTTTGATATCAAATTAAAAATTACTTCATGAGCTTTCTAGGGTAGACAGACATTTCACTATTGAGACGGTTCACACCCAGACAGTTCACACCAAGACGTTTCACTCCCTTGTTATACCAAAATTATTTTGATACTTATGATATACTAAAATAGACCTTAAATTTAATAAATTAAAAAGAAGGATTTCAATTTTTTGTCAACTCAGTTCTTTAAGTTCTATCATTTCAGTTAGCTTATTTTCTTTATTGTTTTGAAATAAGGTGTTTTTCTATTCTTTGATCCAAATGTGCAATAATCAGTGATTATCACATTATTTCATTTAAAGAAAAAATATTTTTGATTAAAATAACACTTTAATATAACTAAGTATTTGATCTTTTGTAAACATGGAATCAATAGGCAATTTTAATTTAAAGCATAACAATCTTGTGACAAGAATTAACTTTGAGTTACATGTTTTTTGTTGTTAATTTTAAACATCGGATCAAAAATTGTTAAAATATTTTATGCTAGTATAGTGCATTTGCGATATATTTCAAAAAATTTAATGGCCATTGAAATCAGAAACATCTTTAAATAAAATTAGAAGCATTAGGACTTTTTCAATATTTGTCATGTATAATCATTTTTTGTGACTAAAATCAATTATTATATAAACAAAACTTATGGAGAAGTTTCTGTGTTTAAATTGGCTGTTGTCAAAAAATATTTTAATGGTCTAATAAACAACTGATTAGTAAACTGCTGTGTTTATACAACTGATTTAATAGTGTGTCAAACTGTTAGTTGATTGTCTCAGTGTTTATACAACTAATTAGCCAATGAGATAACACCACAATTACTTAAGTTTTTTTAATGGGTTTAATAAATTGATGAAGAAAATAATTTTAAAAAATAATTTATTTTATAGTTTTTATACACATGTTTTGCATTTCATTGTTTAAGACTTACAAAAAATAATCATTACATAGTCAATATATTTAATATATCGATATTTTTTATTATTTGAGTGATACATGTATTTATTACTTTACTGGTAATGATTTCAATATATTTAAACTGATACTTATAATATAGATGTTTTTGTTGTTCTTTCTATGTTATTCTATTTTTTTTATTTACTGTAAATAGAATTTTCTCATGTTGTTACACTGATAATAAAAGTGATATTTTAGAAATGTGTCTTTCATTTACACCTCTTATCACTCAACCCATAATTAAATGATACCATTGAATTCAACAAAATAAAACATTAAATTGAATTTCCTTTTTACACTGTTTAATATTACTGAAATTAAAATTTGTTAACTTTCCTAGTAAACATCTCTAAAAATTTGGAGTGAAACGTCCATACAATTGACAAAATGGGAGTGAAACGTCTAGGTGTGAACCGTCTTGGGAGTGAAACGTCTTGGGAGTGAAACGTCTGACATTCTCTTTCTAGGGATGCCTTTAAAATAAAAATGAATTGAGCAGAAGTATAAATTTCTCTATTTTAAATCCTATATTTTTTACTCTGAAAACACCGAAGGAAAAACACGACTCCATAAAAATGTTTTATGTAGAAGTATTAAACTACTCTCTCTCTCTCTCGATCTCTCTCTCTCTCTCTCTGAAATTTCGGTAAGAAAACACGCCCCCTATATGATCCTTTTCAATTTATTATCACAATTTTTTTGAATTACGGTATTTGTATATCATAAAGGGTTTATTTAGTTGTTTTTTTTTGTGGTAAAAACGAATATTTTTTGTCAAAACGATTTGAAATCTATTCTCTATTGTATAAAACTAATAAAGAAAATAATCAATCGTGAAAATACTAACGTGGAGATCTATCTATCATACTGAAGGGAAACAAGTGTGCACATTTCATTTCCACTTTTTTCGCAGAGAAATCATTCGTTTTGGCAGTATATAGCAGCTTTATAGACAAGTAAATGCACTAAACTACTTCGTTACGAAATACGAAAAAATATCCTTACTTGGAATATAGTCAACTCAAGAAAATCAAACATACGAGTCATTCATGATAAGATGGCTTTAATCCTTCACTCAACAAAATATTATTTCCAAAGATGGGTGACGTTAAGTGACGATATATATCCTGAAGGTACTTCATACCGGGAGGTACTTTGTACCATGAATCTGGGACATAAGATAACTTACTAATGTCCCAGCATGAATGTCCAGATATTTCAAATAATACTTAAATAAGAAATTTTTTTATGCAAGTGTTTTTCACATTAATTTTATACAAAATATGGTGTATTTTGAAGAAATTAAAAGTTTTAAGGACCCTTTTCACGCATATAATCCCAGTAGTATTGCGATATATAGATCTACATTTCAAACGAATCGGACCTCTTCTTGAAAAATGAAAATATGTTTTGAGACTTTCCTTATCTAACTATATTGAAGCCACATATTGCAATAAAAAGAGCAAATCAAACTTTTTTTGACAAAGGAACAGATTAATCCAATTAAAATACAAACTTGAAAAATAACTGGTTTTATTATTTCATATAAGCTCTGTTATGTTTAATCATTTTTGAAAGAGTCACTGAATACGAATCTAACTTTGATAGCTTCCGGTAAAGGCTAACTAAAGTTTCGTAATTTTCGGGCAAGAATTGAATTTTATTGTTTACTACAAAATCGATAATGGATGATGAGGCAGAAACTTACAAACTTTGGAAAATAAGGAAAACTATCATGCAGGTACTGAATAACTGATTGGCAACAATACTACAACTTAAAAATGTAAAGTGTCTATATACTGAAACGGTACCGGGTTTCCACGAGCAAACAGGACGTTTCGGCCCCTAACCAAATCGTCCCCAGTGAAAAAATCGACCCTAAGATGTTTCGGCCATTTTCCGCGTGACGTTTCGGCCATTTTATGATATTTAAAAGGGAATACTTAAAATGATTAAAAAATACAAGTATATTTTATTGATGACACAAACAACTAAGACACTTTAATCCCTAATTAATAATTTATTAGCCCGGGGTTCTATGATATCACCGGTACCACTAAAATACGCAATGGAGAATTAGGCCAAAATAAAAAATATGTCTGTTTCAGGGAACCCGACCTACCCTTTTTTTTAACTGCCAACCCCAAACTTTTTTATTGATTTTTGATACGAAATATTTTGGGTACGAAAAGTTTAATAAGCTTCAATATTTTTGAATATGAAAAAGCAATTCATTGTTCATTGTTTCAAATATTTGATATGAGTTACTTAATAAACTATGTACATGCATTGTTTTAGTCAACTTAATGTTTGGCCAATCTCAAAAAACTTATCATTAAAGTATTATATACGACGTCGAGTGTGAGATGTCAACGGCCATCCAAGGGGCAACCTTTTGGAAGGTGAAGTAACATGTTTTAGGGCATTTGTTTGATAAAAGTGTTTCATTTACAAGAGCTGCTTCAAGCGAAAAGTTGCTAAACTGTTTGTTTGTGTCATTCTTAACTTGTTGACAGTGATCATTTTAATATAATTCTTTACCGATACCATTCATATTGAAACTGCAGTGAAACACACTATGCTGGAAGTTACAAAATGGTGTTTGCATTGATTGATTACAATCTCTGTTTAAGTATGCAAGCAACACATCTGAAAATGAAAAATAAGTCATTTCAAAAAAAAGAAGAAAAAAACAAAAATGAAAATCCCTACCCTCCTAATTTTTGGGCCAATGTTTCCTGAACCAGACATATATTTTTATTTGGCCTTATTGGCGCAACAGAGTGCAAAATTTAAAATAAAACAATAAAATACGATTAGCAATGCATTTTTTGATATTATAAGCATGTGCTGAATAAAGTAATATTTTGAAATTATATAAATCATTTAAAAGCAATATTTTCTTTAAAGGGAAAGACAAGGTTAGAATAAAAATTTGATTTCAGAAAAAGAATACTATAAATAATAAATCTGCAAATTTTCTGCCGCCAAATAATGATATTAAACGAATGATAACAAAATTTAAATCGCTAAATCACCGATTTCTAAAAATCAGTAGGCGCGGCCATGTTTGTGTATTGGCTAGTGATGTTCCGATTGTCGCCAGTCGCCGAAAATCACTTACTGTTATGTAAAGCGACAATAATCGATTCATAAAAATTTGTTCCGCGACGTCGTCGAAAATGTTTAAAGTGTCAAAGGGAATTATTCTGACGGTAATTTTCACCTCGCCGATCGCAAAAAAATAATGTCAGAGACAATTTGGAGTTAAACAGAATCAATAAGTAATGTAAACAATAGTAATGTAATGTGATTTGAATGTTATTATTTGACATACATTGAAAAATAAAAGCTATTTCGTAAAATTATGACTATACAAGGTTAAAACTGTGTTGAAAAGTGCTAAATGAAGTTCATGTTACTGAATATAATCAAGTGCCTTGGGAAGAAATGTTACTTCCCTATTTCTTTTTAAACGCGACTTTATTCGAAAAGTTATTGATTATGTCCCATCCGACTGAACCGATGATCGATTGGGACAAATTTCATCCGATTTCCATCACTAGTATTGGCCGTATAAAAACAGGTGCGCGTGATGTCATTTCCCCACATCTAAATCTAGTAAAATCGTAGCGAATTATTAATATAATAAAGTATTGACCAGACAAATTAATTTTGACAGGAGGTGTAGAGGAGATTTTTTTGGTTCAAAATACTTAAAAATATCCAAAAATAAAAAATAATAAAAAATAAAGAAACAAATAAAAAAATCAACGTCTAGCGGTCGCACAACTTCAGGCCAGTGATGCCCGTAATTATGTTCATTAAAGTCTCATCTTAATGTAATTAAACAATATTTCACAGATTAAATAAATACACATGTTATTATTTAACAAAGTTTCACAATCAAATAATGCAATTAAATAAACAAACGCACCAACGAAAAATTGGCTGTTAATTATTGAACGGCGATAATTGTCATTATTATAAAAATCCTACTAAAACGTGTTCTTAATAGTACATGTAATTAAATTTTTGCAGTTTGATTCTGACTTTCAAATTAAAAGGTGTGAACATCTGTTACAATTGATGTACACATTTCAAAAATATAAACAACTCTTTTGAAAAGTGAATTGTTAACATGTCTGTCAACGTATGATGCTGCGTGGTATTTATTTACATCGTAATCGTAGCCTAATATTAACTGTAGGCAAAACATTTTTATGGCAGCTCAAAAATCTAATTTGCATAATTTATTCACACAATTGCTGGTTCTTACTACTTATGTCTAATACTGTGCATTATCCATTTTAATTGTTCCTAATTTGCACCAAATGTTCCTGTCACACTTTGTACTGACAATTTTATTGCTCCTTGTATGCCTCTGTGCCGACAGACCTTTTGATCATGCACAATGTTGCCCTGATTGGTTAATCACCCTTGTCAAATATTCTAAAGACGAAATGACATCTATTTTTTTACGCTTCATCAGTGAACTAAATGACCTTAGGGGAATTAAGTTCCACACCTGTCAAATTATACTGTAAATAACAGCATTTCATAAAATAGCAACACATTTTTTTTCAGTTACCAATAATCATTTTAATATTAAGTAGATTTATGATTTTTTGTTTAATTGGATTAAATTTACGGTAGTAGAAATGCGTATCTGTGTGAGAAAGGGATTGGGTAAGTAGATAACGTGGAAAAAAAGCTATAAAGAACTGGATAAACTGGAGAATATGCGTAATTACAGGGGAATGGGCAACCTGTTGCTGTTGGTACCAGTTTTGACTGGATGCCTAAATAACCTAACGGACAGTTTTGTTTTCATACGATATTAGTCTGGCTGCCGATTTTCCTGCGCCATTTTTAGCGTTGTGTCCTCAGCAGATCTCTGCATATTGGATTAAGTTGATATTTTACGCTGAAAAAAGATACATGACCGGCGATGTACCCTATTCGGACAGCTTGTCTATCGAAAATTAAGTACAAAATAAAAGGATATATCGTCAATTTGAAGAAGTTTCTCATAGTACGATGGTTTGCCTTTGAAAATTATTAATTAAGCAGTCATTTCTTAAATCATGTGGTGGGATCATCAGCAAGCTTGAAAATCGGACAAATGATAATTAATGTCTCGGCGTCTTCATTTAATTTATTAAAACAATTCAGTTCCATATGATGTTTTCATAAATAATATATAATGTACGCAATAAGATAAATAAGTTCTTCATCAAGATATATTTCAGTTGTACCAGCGTGTACACCTATACCGGAAGTGGGTGTAACACGTCACAATCTCTGTCTTGTCTGTCTCGCGAGAGTGACAGTACGTCAAAATGGCGGCACCCGTGAACTTATTTCTCAAGTAAAAAATAGTGTCTTAAAACACGAATTTCTCACTTATAGGGTTGATGTCAACAGAAAAACTGTCATGGTACCTCTTTTTAAATCATTAATATTTATATTAGACGGACATCAATCCATCCATTCCTATTCCTTTAATAATATGAAATTAGGCAAAGCCTATGAACGGGGAAGTCGTTAAAAAATCCTTTCATTCTTTCCGTTTTAAAGGTGTCATTCGATATTACATACACCGCTTCCGTTTTCACTCGGAACATTCGACGATTATTACTAATCCGAAAAGTTGAGATTTGTTCCGTTATCGGAATACCCCGCCTTTTATCATTGACATACATTGTAAATGGTGGCTCCCGACTAGAACTGACACTGAAAATTTCATTGATAGGTATAGAATTCTATATATTTTTTAATTGTTTTTTATTTGATTTTCTTTTAAATATTCACGTTTAGTCTATAGCCGGGCAAGCCAAAGCCCGGACCCGCTTCGCGGGCCCGGTCTTTGACTTCCCCGTATAAGCATTGTATTTTAGCAATACCAGTGGTTTTTTTCACTTTTTGGGGAAGAGGGTCGGTTCCGTTTAGAGGGGGAAAAATGCAAAAGGAGGGGGAATTTTATTTCTTCACAAATGAAGAAACAAAAACGAATCCAATGCATATTTTAATATAGTCGAGACTGCCTTAGCGACCCCCTGATTTAAACGACTCCCTGTCTTATCCGACCTTGTTTCAGTACTCCCAACGTATTTT